GAACATCCCAGGCACACCACAGCTGGGTAGAAGCTGCATCTTTTGAATGTTCTGCCTTTGAAGAATCATAGCATTGCTTCCTCTGTACTCCCACTGAGAGCAGGCAAAACACCTGCCTGAGTTTAAGGAAGGAAAGAGGATTTGTTGTCAGGAACATTTCTGTAAGGTGCAGCCTGTCGTGAAGAACCCTTTCTAACCCTTCAAAGACTGTTTTAGGCTGGGTTAAGAAGTGATCCTATAAAGGACGGAACCAGAAGAGAGAGGAGTGCAGGTGTGAATTAGAGTGTGGAGAGACATGCCTTCAGGATGAACCAGCGTGGATATTGTGGGGCCAGGGAGCCGCCATGGGACCACCGGGGTCAGGTGGGGGAGCCAGCTGGGAGCGAGAGTGGGGTCGAGGCATGTCCAAACCCCCAAAATCTCATCCTTGTATTGGCAGGAGTATGATCACTCCCACCCTGCCCTGGGCCTACATGTCCTAGCACATATAGCCCCTTTGACCCCTGAAGGCACTCATGTAGCCTGGCAGCCAGGTTAAACTTCCTCTGCCCTGATAAGGTCATGTCCAGCAGCACCTGGAATTCCTCCTCATGCATCTTTGGTATCCCCAGCAACCTGGCCCCAAGCCAGTAATGTATACTCACCCTGAAAGTCCCTACCCAACCTCCAAAGGTTTAAGTAGCCTTTGTTTTTGTTTTTCCTGATTAAGTGAGCTATCTCCCAAAGAAATCTGTTTCTCGCTGGCTGTGCTCATTAGCCACCTGAGGTCTATGTTACCCCTGGACATTCCTGCCTCTGCTTCCTCTCTCAGGATCCACTGGTCACTGTCACTGGTCTATCACCCTGGAAAGGATGGAGCGGGCACCCAATGTGGGGCTCAGAGACCGCCAGGATGTTTAGGAGGGAGCTGAGAGGGAACATTGAATGGCACCCCTGGTCGACCTCCCTGTAAGGAGGTCTGTTCTTTCCTTCTCTCTCTTACTTTCCGTTTATCCCTTCTCAAGTGACAAGGTGTGGTGAAGGGGGAAATTGGCACCTTCTGGCCAAAGCTACTCTTTGGAGTTGGTAGAAGGCCCCCAGCACTCTGCCTGGTCCCTGACAGGCCACTTTGGCATCAGCCATAACCCCTATCTCTTTTTATCTCCTTAAAAAAAAAATCGGCAATGCACCAGCCACTGAAAAACCACTAGGGTGGCCACTGGATTTCTGAAAATTTCAGCTGGGGCTTTCATCTAACACTCTGGGGAATCCCCCACAGGGCTGCATCCCCACCCCCACCCCCGAGGAATGCTTCATTTTGGCCTTGGCGTTTCCAAACTTTCTCTATCATGGAAACTCTTCTCTTCATCTCATCAAAAGGAATGAGATTTTCAGCCAGGTAGCCCACCAGTCAGCTCAGCCAGGAGGGTATTCTGGCCAGGTGTGCCTCTGCAACTTCAAGCCTGGAACAAAATCACCTGCCCTCTGGTTCTCAAGACGCTGTCTCTTCCCTGTTCTTTCTCTGCCAAAAACGGAAATAGACTCTCTCCCGACTTTATTCTTAAAAATAAAATGAGCTTAAAAAAATAATATCCCAGACTCTGCAGCCAGAGCCCTGTAAAATCATCATTTGAGAGGGTATGACTTCTAAGTGCAGGCTGCGCCTGCCAAGGCTTCAAAGGTGAACTCTACAAGAGCTGGATTGTGGCCACTCAGGATATTGGGACAGCTCACATCAGGCTGCTCCCCTTGCCCAGGCTTTTTCAGCGGTGATAAAAACAGAAGGGACCTGCTTCTCATTTTTAACTCCTCCCCTAATTCCAGGGGCACTGTACCAGCCCCAGGGCGCACTGGGATGACACCACACCCTGGTGGACAGTGCACCTAGAATTCAAACTGGTGTGGATACGCTCACTGTTACGGTTAGAAATGGCAGGGAGGGAGCCCTGCGAATAGGAAGAGAACCCGATATTCTTGTCACCCCTCGTTCTCTTCGGTATTTAATGGCCACTCAAAAATCACTCCTGCTTTGCTATTAGCCTAATTGGATTCCTGGGACAAATTAATAGTCATTATCTTAACGAAAGATGGTACCTCTGTTGTGGAGCTACTCTCCCATCACCCCATCCCTGAGGCCCCCTTAGCATTCACTAATGGAGGAAAGAGGAGGAGCTGTTGTAATAATATACTATCCTCCTGGGGATGAACACCCCATTATTCAATTTAGAGAGTTGCTCCATCAGTCCCCCCCAATATAAGAAATGTTATGCTATTTATGTAGTCCTTGAAAAGGTCAATGGGTCCTTTAATCTTTTATCAGAAAGTGTACATGCTGTTAATTTACTTCCTTGATTATCAAGATCCTTGGTCAAACTAGACACCAACACTAGCTTCTCTGCTCAGCCACGTCTCAGCCCTCTTAAAGGAAAGAGACACTCGCCTCTACATCCAGCATGTCAGATTTCACAATTCCCTGCTATGTCCAATATCTGAGGGAAATGCCCTCGCTGATCAGAGTGCCTCTACAGGTGTATTCACAGCCTCTGTGGAGCAAGCAGATCAATTCCATTCCCGAACACACACAAATATAAAAGGGTTTCACACCCATTTCTCCATGTTCCTCTTGCTCAGTTTCAGAGGATAATAAAAACATGCTCCTCTTGTGCATCCCTTATTACTACCCCAGCTTTACAAACTATAAGCACTAGCATCCAGGGTCTCAAATCCAATGCCTTCCAGCAAACTGATGTCACCCGCATCCCCCAATTCAGCCATCAACCATATGTCTTTGCTACTCTTGACACATACTCATATTTCCTATGGAATACAACCCAAATGGCAGAAAACTCAAAAAGGCAAATTCACCACATGCTTTCCACCTTTGCCATCATGGGCATTCCTCAACAGATAAAAACTGATGTTGGCCCTGCTTTTACTAGCTCCCACTTCAAGACCTTCTGCTCACCATGGAAGATTGCCCATCACACAGGGATTCCTTACAATCCCCAGAGCCAAGGAATCACAGAAAAGAGTGCACCAAACTCTAAAGCCCAAGGTAAAAAACAAAACACAATCCCCTATCCTCCTAACATACAATTAGTAGTGGCTAGAGCCACTTTAAATATATTTAACCTTTACAAAAATTCCAAACGTCCTGTATCCCTCCACTGGCACACACCAGGCGTAACTCCTCCCAACCTGGTATGATGGCATGATCCCTTAGATGGAATATGGAAGGGACAGCTGATCTTCTCCTCAAAATTCGAAGGTTTTTTTTTTTTTTTTCTGACTTTCCTCAGCACCAGCCCAGGCCTATTTGGGTCCCAGCCAGAAATGTCCAACACCACCCCACCAAACAAGAAGATGCCCTGTTTCTTGCAGACAGGTCAAGGACTGAGGAGGCAAAGGAGATGGCATCCCTGACAGGACCGCAAGATGTCCTGAAAGGACATCCATGGCCTGGTGGCTGCTGCCCAAGCTATGTGTCCCCAACATGCCTTTCTCCCCTCCATTCTATGGCTGTCTCTGTTATTCTCCATTCTAACGCCACTACTACCCAGCCCCTCCCTAATCCTCCCAGTACCCACCACTAGATATTTCTTTGTTAGAGAACCCTATTATGGCCACAACAAAGTTATAGGAACAGGGGATTGCCCTCCAAAAGGGTGCCAGGAGTCCTTGAGAATCCCAGTATAGCCAGACTCTTCCCTCCTTGGCTCCATGTTGGTCATTGGGACCTACAGAGTAAGTTTTGGTTTCTTTAAAAACTCACTTATGTTATGTAAATGTTTTTGCTTTAATCCCAGGTGTGGGATATGGGACTGCCTTAGTTTATCCACAGCTGGTAATTGCCTCATGCAGCTTGGAGAGGGCCATAGTCTTTGCCAGCTGCAGTTGGTAGAATTCTGAAGACTCTGAGAGTGGATAAATACCAGAGCCCAGAGGAAAAAATAAAACAAACAACAACAAAAAACACTTCAAGGAGGCTGTCAGAGGAGAAAGAAGGCTGCTGGTTCATCCTGCTGCCACATTTGCTGTTTGCTGGTGTGCTGATTAGCTGGACTGCTGGATATCCCGACGACTAAGATTAGAATTGCCCCAACAAACCCAATGACTCTACTAGTCAGAAGGAGCAAAAGAGAACCCCACCCCTTCTCCCCACCAACCTTCTTTCTCTCCTACCTAGTATTGGGATATTGGAAGGAATTAGAATGGATAAGGGGTGGAAAAGGGAGGTAGAGGCATTAGAAACCAATAAAGTAGATTAAAAAAAAAAGTCCACAAACAGGGACCTTCCTCCTTCTGGCCTCTTGTTTCATTCAATTCCTAAACAACAAGTAAGCAACATTGCCAAAGTCACCACCAACAAGGTTCTGGTTCAATACCAAACCATTCCTAACCTAGAGGCTGATGACTATGAAGATACCTCCCAAAACAAAAAGAGGAAGATATGGGGATGGGGAGCTGTGGAAGTGAGGGGAGGGGAGAGCCAGCCTAGAGAAAGAGTGGGGTTGAGGTATGTCCAACCCCCCAAAATCTCATTCTGAGATTGGCAGGAGTAGGGCTTCTCCCCCTCCCCTGGGCCTACGTGTCCTGACACATATAGCCCTGTGCTTCTACCCCTTCTGCCCCGCTGGGGAGCTCACATAATCTGGTAGTCAGGTTAAACTTCCTCTCCCCTTATAAAGTCATGGCCAGCAGCACCTGGAATCCCTCCTCATGTAAATTAGGTATCCTCAGCATCCCAGGGCCCCTGCCAATGATGTACACTAATCCAAAAGTCCCTACCCATCCCCCAAAGGTTTAAGTGGTCTTTGTTTCCCCAAATTAAATGGGTTGTCTCACTCAAGTCATCTCTTGAAAAGTCTGTCTTTTTGATGGGATCACTGTCTGAAGTCTTTTTCACTGCTGCCCTCAACCTCATCCGGCTCCTGTTTCCCCTCTCATGGTTTATCCCATTGGTCTCAGTCACAAGCTGATTTAGATAAAATGGGCGGGAAAACTGCATAGTGAGTGTAAACTTCAGGATAACATAACAACATAACATAACATAACATAACATAACATAACATAACATAACATAACATAACATAACATAACATAAAAATTATTACCAATGTCCTATCTCTCACATGTCAGGCACTCTGCTTGATGTTAAATGATAGTCATTTGTGATCACAGCAACTTCATCAATGGCAATCCTGTTCCAGCATATTGGAGGGTACTGAGGACAATAAATGGCTTGTCTGACTAGATATGGTAGGGCAGAGAGATTCAGTCATTCCTTCTGTGACTTGGTAGACATGAGCAAGCCCAGAAACTTTAAAACAAAGTACACCAGGTAATAAATCAAAACAAAGTAACCCTCCCAGCATCTGGGCATGGTGACACACATATATAATCCCAGTACTTGGAGAGGCAAAGGCAGAGGCAGGCGTATCTCTGTGAGTTCCAGGCCCACCAAGGCTACACAGAGGAACCCTGTCTCAAAAACAAAAACCAAAAAACAACTCCCTCCAAAACATAAAAACAAAACAAAATTCTCAGCATGTTTGTAGCATGTGCATGGCCAAGGAGAATATTTGCTTTGGCCATTTCTGAACATCTGATAGCCAAGCTCAGTGCAACTCAATGTGATTCTTGATTATCCACAGCAAGTATGGTTTTAGCAGGTCTGGGCCAGGGGTTGAGATCCTCATACCCAGTGACCCCATGACAAGATGACAGAGGAAGGCCTGGCAAGGCTCACTGACAAAACACCAGAGATGACTTACTTCGGGGCATTGCCAGTGGACCTGGCTAATGTAACTTTCTGGTTTTTCTAGAATCTAAGCTGGGAATGTTTGCTGGAAGTGAACTCAGAAACCCCAGCTGGGCTCCTCTCATCATGGAAAGCCTTTCAGTGACCTGCATAGCTCAGTCGCACTTACTCTGAGGAATGATGGCATGTTACTGGAGCTCTCATGCTTACTTCTCCAGGACACTTTCAATTCTGTCCTTTATCAGACAAGTAGATAAGGAATTCAAGAGACCATTTATATCAATCTTTCAGATTTAATAGAAGATAAATTTGATCTAACAGTAAAAGGTATGGGGCTGGGGAGATAGCTGGCAATAAAATGCTACCTGAATTTAATTCCTAGAGACCAGAAAAACAAACAACCAAATTCAACCAACCAACCATCTAACCAAATGAAAACAAAATAAACAGATGTGGTGGCATTCACTGGTAATCTCAGATCTGGGGAAGCAAAAAGATGCAGATCCCTGGAACTCACTGGCAATCCAGCCTAGCCTACGTGGTGAGTTCCAGGCCAATGAGAGAGCCTGTCCAACCAAACCAGAGAGAGACCACAGAAAGAGATCAAGAGTCAGTGTCCAAACCCCAAGGAACAGAGCAGCAGCATGAAAACTAGACAGGTCAGGACAGACTGTAGGAAATGTCTGAGCCAAGCCTCATCAAAATGAAAATGTGTCCAAATAAGCCCTTTGACTAGATCCCCCACGCCCAATAACAACAACAAAAATGTGAAGAATAAATGGAGAAAGAGTAGAGGACTTAGTAAAATCTACTAAAGGGAACAGGGGCTAGACTATGAGGAGCACCATGTCTCTGAAGACAATGTCAGCTGACAGAGGTCTTTCCTTTCTTCATATGATAAAACCCAAGAATGTAAATTTACTCTAAGCTAAGGAGACACCATTTTCCCCTACTGGAATGGCAGGCTTTGTGGCAATTGTTGGTTACTGTAGGCTTGTGCAGGCCCACAGCACAGGAGACTTTTCCCTCCTTCCTACCGGCTGCATAGCCTGATGGGGCCAGGAACGCCTCAGCAAGACATAGTGAAGTACATGGCAAGGGGCTCTTCTCCCTGGAGTCCAGCACGAACCCAGGAGCAGCTGGCCCCACCCAGAACCACAACCACAGGCCACACAAACTCCCACTTGCTCCCAAAGATACAATTTTGCCTGGGGCAGAAACAAATTGGTTCCATGGGGACATTAACATTAACTCATGAAGGGGAAAACAGATAGGAAAAGATGATTCTGACGGGAAGATACTACACAAGTTAGATTGAAAGGATTTTTCCTTAAGGCTTATCCTGTGGTTTAAAATATCATTTTCTAAGTTTACATCTTTGTAAGGGGGTAAGGGGGGAGTCTTGTGCTAAAAATTTATATATAAAAGCATATCAGAAAATGAACACAGAGATCTGGGAGCTCCAGATGCCAGAGGAAGCAGGACTTAGTGACTAGAATGGATGATGACCCTTTAAGACCAGCACTGAGACACGGTATCTGATAGCAACTGGCCCTGGACCACATGGAATCAAAGGGTGCCTGAGCCATGCCTTTGTCAGGTGGCCATAGTAGGACCTGCCCTGCCAGGTGTGTGTATGTGCACCATGTCAAACTGATGGACCCTGCCTTCCACATCAAACCCAAGAGGAAGGAGTGGTGGGGTAAAGGGGATGGGCTGCCCCTCTGGAATAGCACCCTGAGACTCGCTGTTCACTAGGGAAGCTCAAAAGGCCACAGCAGCTGTTCCATGTTCTTGACACTCAATAGCTGGAGCTCCTGAAGGATCGTTGGGTGTTCCTTGCCAAAAGGCAACGGTCAGTGGTGGAACTTCCTCACAGCCTTCTGAAAGTTGGGGTAGAACTGAGCCATGCTTCGAGGGAAGAAGGAGTCCACCACACTCTGAGGGAGGTAGCCACTCAGGTCTGTCTGGAAGAATGTGACCACGTTGGTTTTGTTGGGCTCCCTGAGAAAGAAGGAGCAGAAATAGTGGGTAAAGCATGTACCATGGAAGCACCTTTCACGGAGCCATGACCAGCAGAAAGGGGCCCAGATATGGTGGTCATTTCTACTCCTGGTGGGGACTCAGTGCCCAGGGCTCCTCTCGCCCTCCTTGTTCTGGATAACATATGCTTTAGGGGACACACTACACAGTTGCTGCAGACACATTGGGAAGCTGATGCCATGCCCTAGGCAGGACAGCTGCTCCTTGTGGCTCTTATCAACTGTGTTTTTAGTGGCTGGGTACTTCTGGGTCACTCTAGGCCCTTTCCAGAGCCCAGCAAGGTTAAAACTTCCGTGCCAGTGCTTCCTATGAAACACACAGTGGAGTTTTCAGCCTGTGTAGTTTGTGACCACACAACATACTCTGTCACAGATTTGTCTTTTAAGTCTGACATGAAATTTGCAAAACTGGGGAATAATGCCATTCTCCTCAGCTGTTTTTTTTTTTTTTTTTTGTCATTAGAAAAGCTGATTATCTTGATAAGATGTTACTTAACATTTCAATTCATTTAGTAGCCTATCGTGAACTTTTTTTTTTTTTTTTTTTAGATTGCTCAATCTTAATTTAAAACATCACATAATGGTAATTACAACTTCTATGGACTGGAGTCTTGTGGAGTCCTCAGTCGTATTTTAGGGGGAAAATGCAGCTTTATATTCAAATTTTGAGCTCTGTTTTAGAGAACTGAGGGCTAATTTCTATGTGTGAAGAGCCTTTGGCAAGGGGTGGGAGAAGCCCAAATGCAGGGTCCCATCTACTGGTGAGGCAGCAACAGGGGATTAGGTTAACTCAGAAGCTGAAAAGGTAAGTAGGGCATGACCAACCAGGAGCCTGGAGGGGTCCTCCGGGTCACACACCACAGTGACCAGGTTCGGAAAAACTATGTGGCATTTTATTTGAGTGATGCTATCCACAGCTCTGGTCTCATCAGAAATGCCACACAGCATCGTACCTCAGAGGTTCTCTGACATGGAACCTCTGACATCAGAGACTCTACAGTCTGCTCCCCTGGCTACTGGGCCATGGCCACTGTTACATCACCCGAAGCTTGCCTACTGTGTGTTCCCTAAAGCAGCCCTAAGCTTCAGCCTCAAGGGGAACGGGCTCTGCTCTTACTCATGTAGACGCTCCCCTGCAATACGCCTGGCAAGCTGGACAGGCAAGGCAGGCCTCAGCATCTGATTACTGGGAATGGAGCTAGGAAAAGTGGTCACAGGTAGTTTTCTAGGCCCACACTAGAAGGTCCGGTCTCCTCTGTACTGGGACAGAGCTGTGTGTATGTGTGCGTGGCTTTATTACTGCCACACTCAAAAGTTTTGTGCCATTTAAGAAAAGCTTTCTCTTCTGCTCCACTTATCTATTGCCCACTTTTTCATTATGCCTTGATGGCAGTATCTTTAAAACAGCTTTCAACATCAGTAGCATCCTCCTTCCAATTTGTCATCCTTTAATATTGTGCTGACAAATGAGTCTCTAGCTTATTTATCTGAGCTTTAGAATCAATTTTTTTGTAACCTTAAAATAAACTTCTAAAAATTTGGTCAAGTATTTAATTACTAAAATTACATTGAATCCAAAGGTGAAGTTACAAGGAATGCACATTGTGAAAATACCAAACCTCACATTCCATGAACATGGAAATGTTCTTCCAGTCAGAGAAAATTCACTGGATTTTAATCACACCAGACTCTTGTGCTTTTCTGATATACATCTTGACATATATTGTTGTATTAACGTCTAAGCATTTATATTTTAGAGAGCTAATAGAAAGAGTATTGTACTTTTATTTTCAAATTTTACTTTTCCTCTGCTGAAAGGTAGGAAAGTGATTGCATTCTTTGTGAACTCATTTTGTATAATATGTCCTTGAGATTATTTTGGTCAAGTATTTTTTTTTTCAATTTTTGTATATAGATGACCGTGTCTTATGTATGCAATGATTATTTTATCGCTTCATTCTTAATACATGTGGGTTTTTTTTATTAAAAAAAAAAAAAAAGAAAGAAACGCTTTCCAAGAGAAGTTTGGGGAGCCCACTCAGTGGACAGGGTGTTCTGCGGGGGTGCCCTGTCTGAGTTTTAGTAATAGTCTAGGCACCGAGACCTGCTTCCTGGGACTGCGTGGGGAAGCCCGCACCTTCCTGTCTGGCTATCTGCAGGAGATGCAGAGACACATGAGCAGGTTCAGTCCCTCTCCTTGTGAACTGGGATGTTGCTCATAAGAAACCTATGACCTTCAGGTAACTCATTGCCTAGAGAGCTCTTGCCAAGATCCTGGCTGCGTCTATGAGTATATTCAGGGCTCTCTGGCTCCTTTCCAGGGCTGATTCACAACATGGTCTCAGAACTGTCCTCGAGGGCCCGAGCTCTGTCCCATTTCCTATAAAGAAAGGTGGTCATTGTGTGCACAATGGGTAGGGAATTCGCTCCTGTAGCCACTCTAGTCTGGTGGGTATTCTCAGAGAGTACAGAGATCTGGAGCTCTGTACGGCACTGTACTTCTGGGCTTTTACTGTGGACACATCTCCTAACTATCGTAACCCTTACTTATTTGCTCAATGGGACTGCAAATGGGGACATGTGCCTGACCTGTTCTGTGGGGCTGGCACCTGGTGGTGGTTGGTGCACAGCTTTAAGCCCAGCACTTGGATTCAGAGGGAGAAGGATCTCTGAGCTGGAGGCTTGCCTGGTCTACAGAGGGAATCCAGGACAGCCAGGGCCACCCAGAACAACCCTGTCTCAAACAAAACAAAACAAAACAAAGACCTAAAATTAAAACAATAACAAAATCCGGGTAACACCTCCTCACACTTTGCCAGGTGCCACCTATGGACGACACGTCATTTCACTGAGCACCTATGTGTGACAACGTATTTTGGAACATCACTATTAGTTTTGCAGATTACAATCCAAATGCCTGTTTGTCTCAGACAAAGTCCTCCACCCACTTTCCTTACCCTGGCAGTGGTTCACAGAAGCACCCGCATGGATGGTTAAATCCTCTCACAAAACCTGGCTGTGGGGGACACAATGGATGTTCCACATGGGTAGCTGGAAGACATTCATGAGGTCAGTGAACTCACCTTGAGACAGCAGGGTTACCACCAGTACTGAAGATCTGCTGTCTGCACAGGCCCAGTGACTGAAGGCCCAGCTACGGACTCTGCCACCTTCAACTTCCTTATGCTTACACTCACTGCAAGTTCACGCACACATGCCTGCTCAGCCCCACACACAAACACACATGCTCCCATACATGCACATACACGCACTCGCTCCCACACACAGTTTTCTCCAACTCTTTAAGAATTTCCGAAGGGGGAACCTTTCGGAATACAAGGCTCAGGTGGGAGAAGATTCCTCTCTCAGACTTCAGCCCACAGGAGAGTGAGGACGTGTCCCCCGTTTTCTCTAGAGGCAGATGCAGAGGAATGGTTGGGCTCTGCTCCCCACAGGACAGGAATGGGGCAGAAAGCAACCATATGATTAGGGTGCTCCGGTGGACGACACACTGACTACAGAGAGATTAACTGCTGTCTGCATGTCCACAGTATGAACTCTGAGCTCAGCGGAAATGAGAAACAGGGCTTACAACATCTGGGGCATAACAAAGCCTGGGCATATGCTCTCCCCATTTCAGACCCTAAGGCATAAGATCTCCTTAACTCTACAAGGGAAGAGGATAGAACACATGAGCTTGCTGATGGGTTTTAATCACTCAGCTTTCCTTGAAGATCTAAGGGTGCGAAAGACAGAGCCCAGGACTAGGACAGCAAGTAAACACCTACCGTCACTTACCATTGGAACTGATGGTGCCGTCCTCATATTTCTTCACCAGTACCAAGTCCACAAAGTCCCTGGGAGAAATGAGCTTCATGGCAGCCGAGGGTGTGGTGGTTCTGCTCACACAGAGTGTCTGCCAAAACAAACAGGGCTCAGGCCTGCTGAAGACAGGTCCATTGCATACCCAGAATTTGGGAAATAAAATGCATGGACAATATGGGGAGTTCCCCGTGGGTGCGTTAAGGGTCCTAATGATTTTATCACTTTTCAAATGATTTCATCTCCATGTCTTTTAAAAAAACAACTCACCTGAGAACAGGTTGTGTGATAAAAGGGTCCTCTCCCCCATCCACCTAGTATCATCCTAGCTTGCACTGTCCAGTGTACAAGATCCCTTGTGATGCTAAAGATCTTTAGGAATTGTGACCTCACCCTCACTATTTGTTCATGGTGCGCCACACTGGGCTCAGTATGTCAGTTTCCCTTTCTTAAGCACAGTCCAAGAAACAAGTCCATTTCTGAATTCATCTAACCTGTAGCAGGCACAGTGGAAGTAATCGCTAATTTCTACAATCATATCATCTACTGAGTACATCTGACAGAGGCACTGTTACAGACACAAGTTTGCTCCAGGTTCACGTCTCATCCACACATCATTTACGCTTCTCCTATTAAGAATTAGGACACTTGAGGGCCGTCCAAATCATGCTGACGAATGTCACCTGAAAGAGGGGGTCCTTGCCGCCTACTTTCACTCTTTCACCTAATGAACACCCCTCCCCTTCCCACTGGCTTCTCTGCTTTTCGGCATGCCCAAGTTCCCCAGCAGCCTGTGCTTTCTCTCTTTCTGTACCTAATATCCCTAATATCCGCTGAAGACTGTGTCTCTCTGGTGACAAGCCAAATCTTTTTATGGACACTTGAATTAATGAGAACAAAGCATTCCCACATATCTCATGCAGAGATGAAAAATACTTTTCACTTTGTATTTAATCATGCTTTATCCAAATTTCTAATGTAATCATGTTAAGAAATTACACTTTACCCCAGTCCAGTACTTTAAGAAAAAGTACTGTGATCAAAAGAAATATAGGATTATTTTTTTTTCAATCTACATGAATATCTCTAATAAAATTTGGCAATGTCAAAAAAAAAAAAAAAAACCAACATGCATTATGTGGGGGATAAAATGGAGTCAGAGGCTGGGCCTAGTGGTGTAAGCTTGTAATCCAAGCACTTGGGAGGCAGAAGCAGGTAGATGAGCCTGGTCTACATATTGGACTCCAGGCCAGCAAAGGCTACGTAAAGAGACCCTGCTTTTGTTATTGTTGTTTGTTTGTTTGTTTTGTTTTTTTTTTAAAAGTTTAGTGGGCTGTGTAAAACAGAGTTTAAGAAAAAAAATTAATTACACACTGCTTAAGAAAAACATTCTTCTTGTTGGTGACTTGCTTTGTTTATTGAATTGCAATGTAGCCTTGTCTAGTGTGGAGTTCATAAGTAGTCTGGCTCTCCCCAACCCCCTAATCCTCATACTCCAGACTGCTGAGATTACAGGTATGTGGCAGCAGGGGACCAGCTCCTGCTGGCTCCTTTACCTGTGTGCACTTGGCAACTTCTCTTTACTTCAGTCAGACCGTTTTCCTTTCCCCAGGGCTCAGGATAGGGAGCTTGTGGCCAGGAATAGGACATCCAACAACTGCCTTGACGTCGCTGACAGGTTAAGCATTGTTAAGCCGTTCAGGCATCAGCCTGCGGATTGCCTAGCTTTTCATTCTCTTTGTCCCACCAGCCACTGTACCGAGACCAAAAAGAACAAGGGTGCTAAAGAGATGGAGCCACTTTTACTCCCAATAGATGATGCACAGGGCTGTCGGGGTGGTTTAGTGGGTAAAGTATTTGCTGTGCAAATGTGAAGACTGAAACTTAGATTTCCTAGAACCCGCATACAAGCTGGACAGGAGTGTTAATTCAGCTGTGATCCCAGAAGGGATATGGAGGCAGGGAATCCCTGGAGTAAGCTGACTAGAACTGTAAGCAAGCTCCTGATTCAGCAAGAGACTCTGCCTTAACGTATACAGTGGAGAGTGACTGTGAAAGACACTTCTTGGGGTTCCACACACAAATGAACCGTATCCACACACATATGTGTAATACACACACATAAACATATACAAACACTCTCTCTCACACACACATTTGCGAGCCCTTCTGTTATGGCCTTTGTATAATATATAAACGGCACTAACCAAAGGTTGCTTAGCTTCACCTATTGGTGCATAATAGTCTATATACTCTCTCTCTCTTTTTTTTCTTTTCTAGTGCTGGTGCCACTTAACTCAGAACAAGAAAATCATATCTATTTATGTGGCTCTTTAAATGCCCCCACGCAGAACACCTGGTATTTAGAAGGGAAGCTGTTTAACTATTAGAAATGGAAAAAAGGAAGAAAAGAAAAGAAAAAAGAAAGAACCACTTGTCATAAATTAAAGGCAACTGCAAATTCCACGCAAATTTGCTAGGGTTCTAGTTCAGGCCATGTATTGGTCTTGCAGTAAGGGAAAGCAGTAAGTTAAATAGTACCTAAGGCACATAAGTGCCTGAGATTCACTCTCCTCTTACTGGTACGGGAGAGATGGAGGGAGAGCTGAAACACAGTATCATCCTTGCTGTGTGTTTCCATTCCATCTCTGACTGTGAAGAACACAAAATTACCTTTCTTCCCAGGGATCTCTGCCCCATCCTTTACACAACAGACTGAAATGAAATGAAGATTCTCTGTCAGGACAAAGATACCTACCTAGCTCTACAGATTGGCCAGCTGGGAAACACTGTGAGGTTTCATAATGCTGCCTGCTTATGTAAGCACTGGACAGTGCCAGACAGGTCCTAGATATCAACACTAAGATGATATTCAAATCATACAAGTCTACTCCCTTAGTGTTGCTTGCAGATTTGCTTTCACTGTGACTTTCTACTCTTCTGCGCTCCTATGGTCAAAAGCAAGCAGGTTCTTAACTTATTATAGTTATTAACTTATTATCATTATAGATGATGCCAGGACAGCTTCATCAAGACCGGAGCTGTCTCCTGTAACTCGCCCCTAGCTCATGCGGCTATTTAAATTCACATTTAGGTTTGTTAAAATGAATAATTCATTTCCTCAAACCAGTCACCTTTTCACGCTCTGCGGCCCCATGGAGCTTGAGGCTCCCACACTACACAAGGCCGTTGCAGAACAATGCTGCCATATACCGAGGCTTTCTACCAGGCGGGGCTGGTCTGCAGGGAACACACCTTTATAAAGGAGACACTGGAATCTGGAAGTGGCCACTTGCAATGGTCCTGCTGTGAGCAAAGAACCAAAATGGCTCTGTCAACGGACAATGTTTCAAAGTAGATCTGAGTCCATATCTGGGGAGCCCAGGCTTGCCCTGTGCTTTCCCATCGATAGCCCCCTGACTCTGCTGAGGATTTCTGGGCCTCTCAGAGTCACAGTTTCCTGACAGGGCCAAGGCTGGGCTGCTGTGTAGGGCACTCCTCTTGCCTATAGGTGTTAGAGATCCTTCTTTAGAGGAGGTAGGGTCAGGTTACTGCATCAGGCCAAGACACGACAGATAAGACACCCAGAGACACTTACGTCAGTGATGCTTTGGACAATTTCAAAACTGGTCACATTGTCATCCCACTTCTCCCGGAGGCCTCCAGCGACTGGCTTTATGCAATCCCACACCTCTTCCGGTGTCCCACACAAAATCCCTTCTCCTCGGTACCTGGAACATAAAGAGGATTTTGACCCATGGCATTAATGAAATCTGTTTTCCTTAGGATTTACCTCAGGTCTATTACATGTCTCTCCTAGTTCTAGGGCCAGCTGACTGAAAAGGGACTACAATGTGCTAGCCCCTACCTCCCCTCCAGCCTGCATCAACAGGTACTGAGCCCTCGCAGAAGACAGCTTTCTAGACAGGATTCAAAACACAAGCTGGTACTTTTCTGGAAGATGACCGGTGATGACAGAGAGCTAGGGTAGACTGAAGCAACCCCAGAGACACCAGGAAGGGAGTCAAGGTTCTGACAAGCTTTGTTAAAAGTGTGCACTTACAGATTCCCTGGAAACTCCTCAGATGGCCTCCAAGAAATTGAAACTCCATTCTGTCAAAAGGCACAGGATTGTAAAATTTTAGAGCTAGAGGAAATCTAGGAGATGAAATCTCAAGACATGATTCTCCAAGGTCACCCAACCCGTTCCTGGCACAGCTGGGATCTGTCATGGATGTAGTTGCCTTCATGGTAGGTGATGGGCTGGTGATGAGCAGAGTGGTCTGGTTGGCTGACTCCAGGAGCTGTGGAGTCAATCGCCTTCAATTCCATCAAGAACTTTTGTTTTCTTAAGCAATTTAGTGATAATGTGTGTGTGTGTGTGTGTGTGTGTGTGTGTGTGTGTGTGTGTGTGTCTGTTAATCAGGAGCGTCAAGGAAGAAAACTACTTCCCCGTCGCCCTCCGGGAGAAGGGATCTGCGCTCTTTGGTACCGAGTTGCAGGTCCAATCCTAACCTCACAGTCAGGTGACCTTGAGTGTGCTTCTAAACGAAAGGGGCAGGAATCTCCAGGAGTCCAGCCACCCTCAGTGGAATCACTCTCTCACTCCACCTCCGGTGTCCGTGGTGCGGAAAATCTCGGGCAGAGGAGAAGCCAGGGAGTTTGGAGGACTCCAACCCCCGGGAGCTGTCTCCAGATCCCCATTCCCGCCCAGTCCTTCACTCACGTCTTCCCGGCACTTCTTCCAGCCGGACGAATCCCGCCGGTACCGGAGCACCTTCCCCGCCACGACCTCACTCTCCTGCGTGGCCCAGGACAGGTCCATAGTCTTGGTGGGCAGGATCCCAGCTGAGCAGAGCCCGTTCGGCTCGGCGGAAAACCGGGCCTTGGGCGGAGCCTGGCGGCCCGCCCCCTGGGCTCCGCCTCCCTTTCGGAATAGGTCTTCTCTCTCCGACAATTCCCGCCCCTTCTTGAAATTGGCAGGTCTGGAGACGGATGCTGGCCCTGCTGTACGCGCCGTCGACTTGGGGCGGGTCTCGGGAAGTCCTGCTCTGCAACAGAAGGCTCTAGGTAGGGCTGGGTGCGGGCTAGGAACCGGCTAGGTATGGAGTTCGGGCGTTTTTCTTTTGGCGCAGGGATGTCTGCTTCTGATAGTAGAGGCTGAAGCGATTCCCATCTTTTTTCGTTGATTAGCTAGTGCCTTTGCTGAATAGAGGAAGAGACAACTTTGAAGGGATGGGGTTAAGGGGAAGAAGTTGAAACCAATGCCAGATCTATTAACTTCCAGATGCTCAGGGAGCTCTAAGTAGACAAACATACAGAGCAGAGAGAACCATGCGTTGGCACCAGAGGAAGACCCTGGCTTTCCCTTGAGAAACTGAATCCAGATTCCAGAGGTAGAAGCAGGAAGGTGACGCATTAAAGGTTTGCCTGGGCAATTTAATGAGTCCCTCATCTCAAAGTGAAAAAAGTAGAAAGAGCTCAGTAGTGGCGTGCTTACCTAGCATAATCAAAGAGACAAATAAATAATAAGCAGACCAGGGTATTTTCAGTAACTTCTGGACACAGAGACAGCCAGACCAGCTGGGGAGCGTGGAATTCCTTCCCTTTGATAACAACAGCCCAGGTTTCCCCTTCTTCAAGTCTATCTCCAATTAAATTGTTTGAAACCTCTTTACTATTTCTTCAAAGGCCGGGAAGGAAGTGTGACTTCAAAGTCCCCCGTGGAAGAAATGAGGGACTGTCTAGCTGGGTGAGGAATCTGGGTTTCTTGAGGTCCAGACCCAATACTGACCCAATATTTAGATGTCTCTAAACATCTTTGAGATACAGTTTGCTCAGGAGTGAAATGTTACTCTAACTTGTATCTCCCTGTGCTACTTCGAAGAGCACATGAAGAAAAGGTGTGTTATTCTAGGAGGCATACAATGGCTCACTTAGCTGTACTTTAAAACTGAGGCGTAGACAATCACAAAAGATAATAATTTGAGATGAAGTTGAGATATGTTTAAACTAAAAGTAAATTGTTTGGCTGTAAAAATGGCTTTAAATCATTAATAAATGTCAAGAAAACTTAAGGAGAAAAAAAGCATCATGCATGGAAAGATGCTTTGTGGAAAAAGAAGTGACCATGACACAAAAAGCTGCAGAACCCTGGTCATTAGGGATTACGAATTAAATAAGGAGAGCCATCTAGTGGACAGACAGGACAAGATTTGTTAGTGCCCAGTACTGAGAAAGGGTTTTTCCACTGTGAATGGGAGCATGCAAATGTGCAATGTTCTGCAAACAAAACAAGTGATAAGTATTAACAGTTGCTTGTTCTTCCTCTTCAACACAACAGCCTCACCTGCACAGAGGCATGGAAGGCCGCCCTTGTAATGGAAACTCTTATTTGTCAATGCATTAAGCAAAGTTACAAGATACCCATTATGTGTGCTATTATATAATCATTAAACTCCTGTAACACAGCTGAGGGAGCCAAGGCTGGCTCCAGGGAGTATTCCTCAAGAGAACAGAGACCCAGGCTGAGTCTAACAATATGACCTGATAGGTGACAGCTCTTCTCATTAACGGCCATTTGCTGTTTGGAGGACATGGATAGAGTTTAAAGCTTAACTAAATATAATATAAGTTCTTATCTTTCTCCAGATGTGATCTCTGTTTAAGAACCAATAGGAAAACAGGTCATCTGTTACACTACATTAACAAGTGAAAAATACAAGTTGAAGGGTAACAGTGTTGTGAACCTAAATGTCTGTGCTTGAAAGCCAAGCCAGATAACATCCGCTTGTAATCCCAGCATTTAGGAGGCAGAGGAAGGAGGATTACCAGAAGTCTGATGCTCACTTGGTGTATGTATTGACTTTCAGGCTAGGCAGGGTACCGGGTGTGACTCCATGGGGGGGAGAGAAAGACAAATGAGAGAGAGAGAGAGAGAGAGAGAGAGAGAGAGAAGAAAAAAAGAAAGAAAGAAAGAGAAAAGGAAAGAAAGCAAGCAAGCTATAAGCTTTTGGGTTGACAGGTACAGTTCAACTATACAATACTTGCACCATGCTCAGGGCCTTGGGTTGCATCTTCAGCACTGAAAAAAAAAAATGTGTTTTTTAAAAAAGATAAAGTGATCATCAGATCACTCAAATCACACCGTGTGTTGGTAAGTATATTGATGGGAAATGAGTAGCCATTACAGACCTTAAATTTTCTCATTTTTTATTTGAAAAGTAAAATAAGTAATGGTACTAGCAGTTGAAAAGAAGGGCAAATGGCTTAATAGTGAATAGTAATTAGAATGGTATTTGATATGCAGTAAACATTTGCACACCAACCATATCCATGTTCAATTAAGTGCATACATGTCTCGAGTAAGAAAGAAGCGAGTGTGTGAATGCACACGTGTGTGAGTTTGTTAATGTTTAAATACAGCTGTGTACCACGTGAGGATGTTATTTGGATCAATCATAAGCAGTATGTACAACAGTGGTCCCGTAAGATAATGTCGCCCTCCTTGTCTTCATAACGACAAAGTCACTTCATGGCATGTTTCTCAGGATATTCCTGCTCCACGAAGCACTGCACGATAGGGATGCTAGAACGTTCCAGTCTAGTAAGGGTTATCTTAGAAAAATGCAGAGTAAGCCAGGCACTTTTTTTTTCCGTTTTAAATCATCATATGCTGCTTCATTATTTCATTTACTAACATCAACTTTTTTTTATTTTAAAAGTCTAATTAAAATTCAATAGAATGTATTTCTACAGTTATGTGACTCTAGCTTGACTCTCAGTCTGCAGCCTATTAGAATCTTGATTGGGCTTATACAATATGAGAACAAAAATGAAGGAAAGTGAGTCTTGATTGATTTTTCTTTATGCTGGATATGAACCCAGTCATTTGAGGCAAATTCTCAACCACTGAGCTACTCTCCAGTCCAGGAAAGCCAACCTTGCTTTAGAAAATTTTAGTAGCAGATTTTTATCTACAAAAGTTATACCTTTATTTACATGTGTGTATCTTTGCGCACATATGTACATGTATGTATAAAGGCTAGAAGACGGCCTAAGATGCATGAGAGCTGGAGTTACATCTGGTTGGGAGATAACCACCTAGGTGCTAGAAGAACTCAACTTGGGTTCTCTGCAACAGTAGTTTGTATTCTTAACTGCTAAGTCATTTCTTCAGGCCCCACAAGAACAAAAACGAAGTTAATTATATTTAACGAACTATGATCCTCGGTCTCCAAAAATGGGAGGTCCCAAGTGGACAAAATATTTAGAAAAGCAAATTTTGTATCCAAGGCCTGTGACAAAGAAGGCAGGTGAGGTCAGAGGTAGCCTAGAACTGCTTCTTCTGTTTTGATGTTGGAGGCAGGTCCAGGGGAGGAAAAGCAACTGGCTGGAGCAGAGAGAAGCTGGCCAGTACCCACAAACCACTCTAGGGATGCAGAGCAGCTCATGTGAAGCCCGAAAGGAGCTGTAGTTGAGAGCTGAAGGCCAAGAGGAAGAATCAGGCCCTGCAGGTTCATTGGTCAGTGCCCTCCACAAGGCCCCACCCTCTCCATTCACCAGGTGCCCTGGCAGACCTCAGAGGACCCCTAGCTCACCCTGAGATAGGTGTTCACAGAATATTTATTGCGTTAGCTCTGGACACTGTGAATCTAGTAAATAAGCAGAGAGATACCTGCTTACCCGCCCCTTAGCAACAGTTGCTGTTTGCTCAAGTTCACTGCTTGCCAGCTGCTGTCCAACACTTTCACTTTACCTGGATTGAATCACTTAGAATCTAGTCTTGAGGTAGAGACCAGTGGCTACCTGGAACCGGGAAAAGATAAAAGAAACCAATCACTAGCAAACAAACAAACAAAAATGGAAAGGGGGAAACACATTTACTAACTAGTGATTTTTAGGATAAGTCTGTGTGTGTCACTCTGTGTGTGCGCGTGCGCAGACACACTTGGACACAGTGTTTTCAGAGGCCAGAAAAGGGCGTTGAATGGAGGTGGAGTTACAGGCAACTGTGAGCCTCTCAGCATGGATGCTGAGAGTGGAACACACCTCAGCTCTCTACCTAAGTGTGCATGCTTTTAACCGCTGAGTTATCTCTGCAGTGGATCATGCTACCAATAATAGTTTGATGACAGGGCAACAAATCAGACAATCTCCCTTACAGTGATCCACTACTAAGCTGTCCAGGCATCTCAGGAAATCACAGCTATGTAAAGCAAGCTTGAGAAGGCAGCTTGGTAGCTTTTTGCTCCTACAGCATAGATGAGGGCTGGAGGGAGATGAGTGATCAGCAAGCTATGCTTTTGTTAGGCGCTTCCTGAAAACCCATTCACAATGGTGATGGGACACAGGAGGAGAGTGAGTAAAGTTGCTGAGAGGCAAATCACCTGTCAGCTTGAGGATTCAGGAATAAGAAAGTATTTAAACCCATTTGATTTTTTTTTCATCAGATTGACAAAAATTACATAACGTGGCAACATTAAGTTTTCGGTGAGACCCTGAGGAAAACATCCCCATCATCTGCCAAGGCAGGGAATCCAACACCTGGGCTTGCAAAGATTCATAGGAAACAGGGGAAACCTAATACTTTTGATTCCAACAAGCTGGGGTTTCACTTTTATAGGACTAATGACTTCAAAGAAAACACACAAAAGCATTGAGCACACAGTTTAATTAAGGAAGATACAGAAAAAATTTCAATATTCATCATGAAGAAAAGGAAGAGATATGTAGTTTATCCAAATAATTTAATACTGCATAGCTGTCATAGGGAGCTTCATCTGTGCATGTTTCTATGCTGGATCTCAAAATTTAAGTAATTATAGTGATAGATCTAGGATGACAGATTGATTTAAGACATAGACATTGCTTATGGAGGCCTACATACACATATTCCCAATACAGAGTCTGTAAATATGACAGTCTACTCAACGGCTATGCACTGAGCTCTTGACAGTGTGAGAAGGACTTCTAGTGTGTGGGCTAGAGAGTAATCTAATCATCTCTCTTTTCTGCACATGACTATGTAGCTCAAGCTAGCATGGCACTATATAGCTCAGGCTGACCTTGAACTTGTGGTCCAGTCCTCCTGTACTAGTCTTCCAAGTACAACTCTGTAGCGTTTTCTTTATTAATAAGAACAAAATGTCTCCAAGGAAACAACATGCAAACATTTGTTGACCGTCACAGTGGAAATACGGGTGTTCATCACACTCCACGTTGTATCATTGGGTGCCGTTGGAATCACCCAGTACCAGGTGCCGTACATGTGTGGTCTGAGGTCACACTTCAGCCTGGCTGTGTTACTGGATGCCTCTGTTTTCTTGGAATGTCCCAGGCTCTGCTCATGCTCTCTCCTCTCCTTGCTCCTGCAGGTGTCTGGAGGTAGATCTTGCTTCCCTAACCTATTTCCATGACCCAGGGGACTCTAGGCCTCAGCCCTGACCCCAGAACCTCTGGTAGGCCTCCTCGCTGTGATACTGCTGTGTGTAACTCTGTCACTAAAGGACACCCCAGGCACTAAGGACACTGAGTCTAGACCATCGCCTCCTAGAGTCAACATGGCATAGAATTTGAACACTTGTGCACTCCTCCTTGTGAGTTCACTGAGGAAGATTATCTGTGTGGACTTTGCAAATGGCAAGGTTTATACCAACATTCCTGGTGAGAATTGGGATTCAGTCATTAGTATATTAATTCATCCATCCATTCACATCCAGCAAGGTATTAGGTATTTGTGACAGATTCCTGCCTCCATGGGACGGATGGCTTGTGGAAAGTCTTGAATTGCCAGGAGCCATCTAGGGAGAGTAACAATGAGGAAGTAAAGATTTCTGGAGACAGTCTGCCATTTTGCACAGCTGTGAGGGATTTATCTCTGAAGGCAAAGCCTCAGGGGATATGCCTCAGGATTGCTTCTTGCTATTATGCTTTCCCATGCTTGCCACACATGTCATAATACATTAGACATAAAAAGAGCCTCACTGCCTATGGCATGGTGTGATGGTTTCGTAGCTACTATGTATTCTGGTTGAGCAGATTTCCTGCAGAATCAATATGAGGATGTACTTTCATGTAATAATTCTGTTTAAGCAAATCGATGATGTCATAATTCCTGATGATGATTTTATAGAATTTCTGACATTTAAAGAAAGTCAGCAAGTCAGAAAGCATGATAAGAAAGGCCGTATGAATATTAAAACAAAGAATAAATGGTTAGCTGTACAAGACAAGACAGACACCCGTTTCTTAGGAAAACTTTGATATAAAACTATTCTTTGAACTCATAATAACCATATGACTAAGAAAAGATAAATCTTCTGCTGTGAACTCATGGGTGTATAGATAGGAGCACTGCTTTAAACTTATAATGAGCAAAAACATCTAGTGAGATATAATTCTAATGAAAGAATTTACAACCTATAGTCCAACTGTAATTCCCTTTTCCTGTAATGATTGCATCTATTTTTTAATAAGATGATTTTTTCATACATAGAGAAACTTTCTTTGTCTTAAAAGTCATAAAACCCAGGACAGAAATAAACATGTGTTGAAGCCCCCTGCTTCTTTCAAAAATGTGTCCATCTAGTTGTCTGTATATATGTATGATTCTCTCTCTCTCTCTCTCTCTCCCCCTCCCTCCCTCCTTCCCCTCCCTCCCTCCCTCCCTCCCTTCCTTCCTTCCTTCCTTCCTTCCTTCCTTCCTTCCTTCCTTCCTTCCTTCCTT